GTATCGTCGGTCACGACTTACATCAAGAAAATGTACAATCCATCCAGTAAGGAATCACTCAAAGTCAGGAGGGCGATTGTTAGAAAGGTCAACCATCATCACATGCAAGTCCACAACACCACTGACAGTAAACTGCTTGACTATAATCGTTCGTCTTCTCCTTAGTAAAGTTATAATCACAAGCTTGATTGTACAATTTCAATATGGAATCTGTTTGTCTACAAAACTTGCATCTTTGAAGAATCAAAGTTTAAAAGAAATGATCAATGAGCTACACTAAAGTTTGACCAGATTGCCCGATATAAGGTTTACTTAAGGCATCGTGGCTGGAATTGTGAGAATACAAGTGGCGAATGTACTCCTAGACCGACATTGATCAAATGCCATTGGTAGTCACGAAATGTTCAGCGGAGGAACTGAGAGTTTGGACCTGCGTTTGAGGACTTCTTTGATGTTTATCCAAATGTTCTGTATGGTATTGAGATCTGGAAACTGTACCGACCAATCTGTCCCACTGACATGCCTATTTGGGATGTATTCTTCGTTAAGTTAAAGTGTTAAGTAACTTCCTGTAAAATTGTTTTTCTGTTTATTTATTGACCCATGAGAGTTCTGTCTCATATATAATTCGAAAAGACTTCTTCCACTCTCACTGCACCATCTACCAAGCCTAATCGCCCATATTTTCTGATAACACTGCTTATGGTTGTCCTACATATAGGTATGGCAAATAACCTTGTAAGTTTGAGTGATTTCGAATATGTTTGATATTTTTACAATCCTTTATCGTTCCCCATTGCTCAATTTGGCGGATTTGCGATCCATTACGTTGACTGCGCAATAATGAAGTCAAGCAGACGACACCAGCTGGCTGTCAATGACCTGCACGCTGAAATAAACACGCGGTTCACGCTTCACAGTGCGGGATCAAACGCACTTTTCGTCACACGTTTCACTGAGCGTTTTGTAAAGTGACGAACTCTTGTATCCATTTTTAGTAATTCACTTTCTTTGTAAGGTAAAATATCTACTTCTTTTGGTGTTATGTCTCATTCGGGATTCGAACCCACGCCCTGAGAGTGAGCCTTCTCATAGCCTAATGTTAGGCTAAGGTTTCGCATGTAGACCTTCTTTTTCTATTCTATAACGATTTCTGTCGTTTTAGAATTCACTTTCTTGGTAAGGTGCGATGTCTACTTCTTTTTGTGTTTTGTCCCATCCGGGATTCGAACCCACGCCCTCAGAGTGAGCCTTCTCATAGCCTGATGTTATTATCTACTCCTTGGCCTTTCAAGCAAAGCAGTGGGTTTATTTGGTTGCGCATATGGGCCTTCTTTTCTATTCTATAACGATTTCTTTGAATGTTCATGCACACAGATAAGACAAAGATCGATGTTCGGATATAGAATATACATCGTGACAACACATATTTGTGTGAATTGCTGTCTTGTTATTGTCATTTTATGAATAACATCAGCACACATAATAATAGCAACAACCATCAATCGGTCCTTTTGGTCTCAGTGCTAATGTCAAGACTTTGTGCTGGCGCAATAGTCTTCAAAGCTCTTTTTGGTGTGAACTGAGCGGAGTGATTTGAAGAAACCTGTCTTGAGTGTGTTTGTCAGCTGGTTGATGTGGTCAGTGATAATCAGGAGATGACGGTTATGTTCCGGTGATGTTGAATCTTTCCCTTTCAAGCCTTGGGGAGGCAGTATGGCGGATAGCTCTACCAGCGGGCGAGTTGATGGGTGATGTCGACCGAGGCTGTTGATGGCCTTAATTGCCACGTCTCCATTGATTGGCGTTTTAGAAGACAGAACATCTAGTTGGACAATCTTGAAATATTGGCTAAAAAACCTCTAGCACTTCACCACACTGTCAGGAGCAGTACAAATCCGTCAACACAAGCTCTCAGTCAACAGAGATCAAAGATTTCTGATCCCATCCGGCTAGCCTAACTGATGAAGCAACAGAGCACTGCAGCTATCATTGCTAATTAACTTTATCAACAATGTATAATTTTGTTCCACCCCATGAACAGTTGGCTTGAAGCATTAATAACCAATATCCATTGTTGTTGTCATCGTCATCATGTGGTGCTTCACTCTTGCTCCACAACTGTATACGGATACCTCCTATAAGGCATAACTTGATAGAATAATATGGGCATGATATTCATCCCTTGAACAGGCTAATTGCCATTTTTGTACCCCTGTCATATATACTAAGCAGCAAAAGAAACGTCAGTTTGGAATTTTCCTTCGCAGAAACGGATAACTTCAAACTCATTTAATGTTTTGATTGTATATTTTTGACAACATCTCCAACTTTACCTGAGCAAAGACATTCCTTCCCAAACTCAGAATGGAACCCAGGAAATGGTCCCCAAAACGCAACCTGATCTCGGAGATGGTACGGTGTTCTCCATGTTTTTCATGCAACTCATGCTGCACTTGCTGTGCACAATGACCAGCCCTATAAAATGCACCTCCAAACCTTGTTGAAACATTCACATTACAACGTCAGCAGGATGCCGCGACTCACGACAGCCCAGAGGAACCAGGCACTAGGAAGACTTGAAACTGGCCACACTGCACAAGCCGTTGCCAATCACTTCCAGGTCAACGTCCGGACAATCTACAGGCTGCAGCAACGTTTCTGGGCCACAAACACCACAAATGATCGCCCCCGTACTGGCAGACCGAGGGTGACCACAAGACGACAAGACCGCCATGTTGTGCGACAGCATGTACAGAATCCCTTCATGCAGGCATCCGAAACAGCACGGCAGACAGTGGGAACACACGGAAGACCAATCAGTACTGATACAGTACGCCGACGTCTTAACAGCGGGAACCTCCATTGACGTAGACCTTACCGTGGACCTATCCTCACCGGCGTGAACGTCTACAGTTTGCCCTACAACACCAAAACTGGCGATACAGGCAATGGAGAACTGTTCTGTTCACAGATGAGAGTCGGTACTGCGTATCAACTGCAGATGGCAGAACAAGAATATGGCGACGACGTGGCCAGCGTTACTCAGACCAATGTGTTATGGAAAGAGACTCATGGGGAGGTGCAAGAATCATGGGTGGAATAGGCCTGAACCAGAGAGTGGGTCCTTTGGTGTTTCAGAACCTTGGTCAAGGGAGAGGAGGCGGCATCACAGCGGTGCGCTACATCGACCAAGCTCTCAGACCCCACGTCATACCACATTTCGAGCGTCACCGGAACAACATTTTCCAGCATGATAATACCCATACTGCCGGGACTTCCTACAGCAGAACGGTGTCAACATTATGCAGTGGCCAGCCCTTAGTCCTGATTTAAACCCAATCGAACATCTTTGGGATGAAATTCAGACGAGACTTAATAATGTCATACCAAGGCCGAACACAGCTGAGTTATTGCTCCAGGCCTTTCTCAGAGTGCGGTTCAAGGTGCCAATGGCCTTCATCAATCGATTGGTGCACCCCATGCATAGACGCTGTGCTGCAGTTATTGCCGCTCGTGGTGGTCACACTAGATACTGCAAACTGCAAACGTTCACGTAATGTCTTGGAATTGTGCTGAGTTATTCACTGATGAGTCAAAAAATGTTTTTGTTCCGCTTATTATGTCCATTTCTGTAATGATATGATTACAGTGCCCATCTAATTTTGAATTCGTACTTACGGTTTCTTTTGCTGCTGAGTATATAAATACTTAATTAGAGCTATTGTGACAATGGTCAGTGGAAAGACCCCGGGAACCTCGTATTGATACACATCACTGACTGGGCTTACACTTCTCTACAGCAAGTCTCTACATCACTATATATCCCTGGCCAGAATTAATCCGAACTCATATGCTGATATAACTTAGCAATAACGACAAGTCAGCAAACAGACTGTCTTGAGCCACATCGAGAACGCCATCAATGAACGCCACATCGAGAACGCCATTTGGAACTACCAAATGAGTTTTGTTGCTATTCTAAGATGATGCCTCTCATCAAAATGACTGTATGAACATGAAAGGGTGAGTGAGGTTTTCTGCACTCTAAATTTCTTGCTTCGTCAATACTCTTATTTGTTTTTGTTTCGTCCAATCAACAACAACACAAAAAGAACATTGCAAAAGTATTTGTGGCCTTGACCTCTTTGCAAGCGTTCAATTCTTAGCTCCAGATTTTCTTAAGTCTACATTTGTATATTATTTTTTTCACAGATATAAATATATGAATGCAGCAAAGAATTTTCGGTAGATGTACACACCGTGTTATTGTTGTTTTTATGATGACCATTATTAAACGTCACCGTATAGAACCCGGACCTTCACAATTGCAATATGCAGAGGCAGGAATCGCTACTCCGTGACGAATAACACAAACCTGACAATCTACACGACTCCAGTCGATAGGACCAGTCCTCTATAAATATACAACAATTAGAACAGTTGAAGAAAGACAACATTAAAGATCTTCTCCTGGACTGTAAGCTACATACAAAAGTCAAGTAATTTCTATCATTCCATGAATAATGTTTATTTTATATAGCACATGGAGTACTAAATTAACGATTCTCACTTAGTTTTACGGAATCTTTGTTCCACAAGGCTTGAGATTAAAAAAGATAATTTAAATCGAATATTAAATTTCTTTACAAAGCAATTTCTGAAAATGATTTCGGCCGAGAGAAATATTTAAAGATCTTGTTACGCACATGCACTTACTATTCATTGAAGTTTTGTTATTTATTGTAATTAATCCAAAGAGGAAGTTAAAAGATAGGTCGGGGAATCAAGGAACAGCACACACAAACTATTTTACATTTCTTTTTATGATGTGCCATATTTAAGAAATTTGGAGTCTCCTTTGGACTTCAATGTCCATAACCTTGCTGGTGGTTTAACCTAATTGAACACCACGCTACCAAAACCTTCATGGGACTGTCCCTTTAAGAATATTCCGAAATGTAATTCAATTACGATCTCGGTCTGGCCATAGTTAAAACCTAAACCTGTAGGAAGTGAAGCCAGCTTGCCACGTTCCTGGCAACGAAGCCTCTTCATCACAGTATGTACCGTGTACCCACAATATTCATTTGCACATTCAGTGGTTCATTGCGATATGTTTGTATGCCAGTTAAGCGATAAAACCTGTTTGGGATTTCTGAAAAGACTTTGGAGCGTTTACTGCACATGCACAGCCAAACACTGTTTTGGCTAACAAACGGCTGTCTTGAGGTAAATGCTTGGTCCTTTTGAATTGTGTTTACAATTGTTGTTGTTTTAAATATCTAGGGTCGTAGGTCCCATTCAATTCGATCCAACTGTGTTTATATTTGATATGGTCAGTCAGAAAATGTGTCATTTTAATTTGTAAGTTTCAAACAAATTTTTCAAAGTAAAATAATGTATTCTAAGAAACTATATTTTGTTGAGAAATAATGTAAGACATTGAACTATTTGGCGAAATATAGGCACCCATTAAACCTCGATTCGGTGTTACGCATCAGAGATGGCGATAACTGATTTTCGTATACTTGGAATGTTGGAGATTCACGAGCGCTTCCAGTGGTGCAAAATTAGATATAATTGAGCATGTTAAAATGTATCCAATGTAAGCGAATGTATCCAATGTAAGCAATGTAAGCGTGTTAAAATGTATCCAATGTAAGCGAATGTATCCAATGTAAGCGAATGTAATAAAGTATAGTAATAAACTTCGTCTGACTATTCAAAACAAATTGAGAAAAGACATGATGTAATTCGACTGGAACTCCGAAAGTAGACAGAGTAGACAGAAACGAAGAAACGTTTCATAGTCATATAAGAAAAACTACGGTGAAAGCTGCGTATATTGTACAATTCATTGTGAACATGTGTTTACGGATTACCATCACATAGGGATTACATCATTTGTTCGCGAAATGGAGAGCCTATCCTGTACCTGCAGAACAAATAAAAATAAGCAACACACATCTCTTTCAGGGTCAAACTGTATCAGCAATCTGCCCTGATCCGAATCCTCCGTTTTGTACCATGCATCTCGAGAGTCTCATCGAAGATCTCGGCAGTTTTGGTCGCTATCAGAGATGCATCGTCTGTGTTCTCGCACTGTGTAAAGCCCTTACCGCTCCATCTATGATGACAATGGCATTCGCAGGGGTTGAACCCGATTGGTGGTGCGAGTCACGTGATCAGGATGACGCCGCCATTTTCACAAATGGCAGTTACCAAAATTGTCAGTGGAATGAGACTTGTCAGAGAATATTTGAGTCCGAAACGGTAACCATAGTATCAGAGGTAAGTCGTACAATCTTTCAATGGTAAAATTGCATCCAGTAGAATAGGGGGCAAGGGTGATCCTTTGGTCTCCATAGTTTCCAGAATTTAATTCCTCTAAGTCTGGATTTAATCCTCGATCAACTCTAATGTAACAGCATCCTATGGTGTTTAATGGTTTGCCAGCATCATATGGTGTTCGTTAATTTTATAAACCAGACATACATCCAGGACCTGTGTCACTTGGGTATTTGTTTCACAGTAAGCCGACCTGCTTTGATATAACTCATATATATATATATATTCTAAATTGGCATGAAATATACCTCAGTCACTAACTTAAATAATATCAATATAGTATCATAGCATCTTGTTTGGGCAGATACCGTCTTTTTTGTTTTGATACATAGATTTGTGGTATGGTGTGAAAAGACCACTTCTAAGGTGAACCGAAACATTAAATATATTATGAATACACAATGCCATTTGGAAAGTGGTCAAATGTAACTTATGCCAAATTTGGGATTACTCTTTCTCAGTAAAGTACTGATTCTAGTACTTTTGTGGGGTTGAGTCCCATCCGGGATTCGAACACGGCAAGAAAGTGTAATCCGAAATATAACATCCGTTAGATTAAATATATTATGACTTGCCTGTTTATTCTTCCGGCTATTTCAGTGGAACCTCGTATGTGGCAAGAGGTGGGTCAGTGATATCATTATCTCCATACAAATGGTTGGTGTCCTTTTCGGCAGCATAATTGCAGGCTACTGCGCTGACAGATACGGTCGGAAGAAGGTGGTCTACGGTGGACTGGTCTTGAGCACCATCAGCAACCTCACAGCTTCTTTCTCTGTGTCCTGGGTCATGTTTACTGTGATCCGAGTCATCATCGGACTGGCGGTTGGAATGACACTGTCATGCTGCTTCCTGTACCAATTGGAATTTGTGGGAAAGAAATGGCGAGGGGTGTGTGCCACGATCCCGTCCTGGTCCCTTGGTATAGTGCTATTTGCTGTTTTTAGTTGGATCCTCCGGAACTGGAAGTGGCTACATCTAGCAATCGCTGCATTCAACATTCCCTTGCTGCTGACATGGTTGTAAGTGAATTATTTAAGAAATGCATATACACAATCATCTGTGGACTAGGTGTTGTACTTGATATTCCCCGAGGGAATTGGATATAAGGATAGCTTTTACTGAACAAAGCTCACTTTAATGAATACGCCAATATAAGGTCAAAGTGACATGCACAACTCTCCACAGTGGTGAATCCAATTGTAACCATGCAAAGGTTTGCCTCTCCATAAAAGCGTAAAGTTAGATAACGAGATACCACACTATACATGAAAACGAGGCCTTACACTATATCATATGTGCCATTTTCTTCACAGCTGTATAGTTTTCATTGATATGCATTAACGTGGTAGTGTATACTATTTATCATATAAGTTCCATGTTACGACTAAAATGCTCAGTCAGTATGTGAGTGTAATTCCTATTGACTCGACACGACATTCAACATTTGCTCCAAGTGTAATGCCAGAGTCACTCCGCTGGTTAGCTGTGAAAGGACGTCTTGAGGAGGCGAGGCGCGTCGCTAACAGGATTGCGAAGTTCAACAAGAAGACCGTTCCAGACCTGTCCATCTTGGAGCTGATAGCCGAGGAAGAGAAGGCGGAAGGGGTCAAAGCTAAATCCTATTCCTACATAGATCTAATCCGAACCAGGAAACTGAGGTCCAGAACTCTGATAACATGTTTTATTTGGTAAATACTTTGTACATTTGGTATTACTTACACATATGTATGCAGTCTCCCATCATCGTCGTCGACTTCCTCATCATCCTAAACCTATTAACATCCTCCTCATCATCATCATCTGCAGTCTAATGTCATCGCTATTATCCACATATTGCAAAGATTCAACATTTAGACGTTCAATGATCATCACTAGTATCATCGTGAGCATCAGAATGACCACTCGTATATTTAAACCTCTACATGTCTGTTCTTTAAGGTTCTCTCTGTCCATCGTGTACTATGCCATTTCGTTTGGTGTGAACAACCTGTCAGGCGACTTCTATCTGAACCTGCTGATCATGGGGCTTCTGGAGGTTCCGATGGCTCTCGTACAGCTCTTCATGGTCTCAGTGTAAGCATGTAAGACACTGCAGTTCTTCAACTGACACACAGTGCATCTGAGCCTCACTCGGCAACCAGTTCATGTATTCTATTTGCATAAAACAAACTTAAAGCATAAGGAAAACTAATGATGCAACTTTGACAGCATACAATTTTTAAATAACATTTGTAGAAACAAAAAGACATTTACACAAGGAACTTGTGAAGCACCCCCTGACATATATCATGATTGAACCTTTGGAGCATATCTGGGACATGATTGGTCGTCGTGTGCAACAAAGGGATCCTTCTGTACAGAACCTGGCCCAATTGGAAGCTGCTTTACTTAAGGAATGGCGTAGACTGCCACTTCGGAGGATCAGGAGGCTGACAGGGGGTATGAGGAGGAGAGTGCTGGCTGTCATACAGTCACATGGAGGTTACTCTCGGTTATAACCCTTGAACTGTGTAAGACATGCAAAATGACATCTTGAATGTTAACATTCACCAATAAATTCAACATTATACATTCCAGGGCCATACTTGTACAGACATGGTTTTGTATGAAGATCAGTGTTTTTTCTTTAAAAGGATCAATTATGATAATAGAATCAACATGGATTCCAATCATTTGGTCGTTTTTTATGAGTCAAAGCATTATACGGGTCAGAAAAAAATGTTTTTCCATCATTGTTACCACGTGAGGTTTTATGTACGTGTTGAAAAAAATACAGGGGGTGCTTGATTAAGTTCTTTGTGTATATATGTCATAAGGTTAAATATACTATACTGGTGTGCAGTGCATGTTAAAACAGTTAACATACATGTTCGCGTGATAACTGACACATGTTGAAAGGCTTACTGTTAGAACTTGGGTCTTTTATGGACACACAGGTTCAGTCGGCGTTGGGCGTGCGCTATACTGTTCTTGCTCTCAGCTGTTGCCTGTTTTGGTGTTGCCATAGTAACAAAGCTAGGTGAGTAAACACTGCTTGGTGACTTATGTTTGTACTGCTGGTTTTGTTTAAAAAATAGAGTTTGTTGGAAACATAACGATGGAATATTTGTGTGAAATTGATTAAGTAGTTCAATGAAAGCATAAATTTTTCGAAAAGAATATAACGAATGGAAGTGATATGGTATACAATTACTGGCAATGGTGTTTATGTTTGAGGAAAGGCAATTGTCCTTAAGGCAGAAAATGTGGAAAACACATGCAAGGTGTACTTTTTTTGCAGCTCCCACAGATATCAAAGTGCCGCTAGAAAATGGATTTGCAATCTCCGCCAAATTATTCAACATCAGTGCATGGTTATTGGCTCTGGCGTTGTCAAGTGAACAGTTCCCTACTGTTGTCAGGTGATACGATTAGAAATAACAAATGGATCGTTATGCTGAAGGTGACTAGTTATTAACGAAACTCACGAGCAGCGGTTCCTTGCATGGCAAAGGGACAGAACTCGACAAAGCGAAATTGCATGTATTTGTGATTATTCTCTAGATGCATATGTACGGTTTTGGTTAGAAAAGGAATAGAGAGAGAATAGAAAAATACGACTGACTGACTGACTGAGTTTTGGTTTCACGCCGCTTTTAGCAATATTCCAGAACGGCGGGGGACACCAGAAATGGGCTTCACACATTGTACCCATGTGGGGATTCGAACCCGGGTCTTCGGCGTGACGAGCCAACGTTTTAACCACTAGGCTACCCCACCGCCCAGAAAAATACGAAGGAATGTGAATGACTTTTCTATAATTAACTCATGACCTGAACTTTATCTCACACTTTGATTTATGATATGATATATTTTCAGTCATAAATATCTACACAGCAGCCAGTTTCTACCCTTGAATGTCATATTTGACTGACATTTTAATGCTTTTCAGCATCACTTTTATTATGATTAATATAAATGATTTTTAGCATCCCTTTTATTATTATTATTAATATACTGCAACACAAATACCATTTCTTGCCGCAAATAATTGCTGATGCGGCGTTAACCAATATTCACTCACTCATACATATCTATAAGAAGCGATGATATATACATATGAAACAATTAACTGTACTCAGCGCTCAAAGAATATTTGTACAAGATTGTATTTGTTTAAAAGAAATTTGAGTTAAAACGTTTAAAAACTGGAATAATAATCCACTGATGACGTGTATTTTAGAAATCTAATCTGTGGCAGTTAAAAACTTGTCTTCTTCGGCATAAATTGTACGAATTTAAAGCACGATTGCAAATTTCTTTCACAGACACGAATTGTAGAAAGTTTTGCTGGAAAGAGTGATGGTTAAATATACACAAGACTTAAGAGAATTTAACAAGACTTTTTTTCTTTTCAATTTACCTTGCTTTCGTTTGTCCTCCGTCTGTTTTGGGGCATTATTGTGTCCTTTTATTTCAAGTAAATTACCCAAGGCGGTTCAAACGAAAATCTCCCCTGTGTTACATGAATATAGTGGCAAAGATATGTATTGCATATGTATTGTAAATCAGTTTATAAACGGATATTAGAAGACTTCATCACCTATTTCAGAAACTTGGCACTTGCTGGTCTAAACACAGTTGCGAGAATTGGAGGGATTATGGCAGCTCAGATATTTTCTTTGGTAAGGAAATATATGTCTTTATATCAAGCCAATCTATCAACAGAAAAAGGTTTTCAATAACAATACGGTTTTCTTTTTCACACATTACGAAATGTACAGTACAACCAGAAATTATTGAGAATTTAAGATCGTAATTTTTTTCACTCATTACTCACGTATCAAATGCCTACCTGCGCCTCCCTGGTGCTCAATGCCATATCCATTTGCAATATTTTTCAAAACACGATAAACAGTGGACAAAGGGATGCCTGTTCTACTTGAAATCACTTGAGCTGATCTGATGTCCTTGTTATAATACTCTAAAATCAACTTCCTCTTCTCTAAATCATCCATACTGAGGATCACTGAAAATGTTGTCTGCTAGCAAGTAAACAAAGGGGGGATAACTCTTCACACACTAATGCCTGACTGACTGACTGACTGAGTTTGGTTTTAGGCCGCTTTTAGCAATATTCCAGCAACATCACGGCGGGGGACACCAGAAATGGGCTTCACACATTGTACCCATGTGGGGATTCGAACCCGGGTGTTCAGCGTGACGAGCCAACGCTTTAACTACTAGGCTACCCCACCGCCCCTCACACACTAATGAAAAAAGGATTAACGGAGTTGTCTCTCTTGAATGAAACCAAGCACTTGATAGCTGGTCAAAGCTGTTTATACTAGAAATCCAATTAAACATATTCCTAAAATTCTCAATAATTTCTGGTCATACTATATTTTGTAACACACCACTGTGACGGGACAACACCTGTTAGATATATCTCTATAGCAAACTAACTTGAACGGGTGATGACAGGGTGGTAGCCAAAATGTAAACATGACATCTGTCAAAATCTGATAGTTCTGCATATTTTTTGAAATTAGCTCAATTTGGAAAAGATGACTAGACAAGATGATCTCAACCATTCTATTTTTTGTTAAATATTTCAAATCAATCTCTACTGAGAACTTATCTTGTTTTTCCTTGCCTGAAAAGCTGCACTATTACTATGAGCAGTGTAAAGCCTGTAACCTTTTCAGCGACCTTTTTCCTTTGTAAGGGTTCCAAGGACGATCTGTTGCCACCTTTCGTCGCCATGGGAATTTTTATGTCCTTTACAGCATGGTCATGCTTTGGCCTTGAGGAGACAAGCAAAACGCCATTAGAGGATACAATGAAGAAATATACAAGAGAAATATCGAATGAAAAGACAGAAGAAATTCTCCTAAAAGGTATTCCTTTGATAAGGAATGGTACTGTTGATGCGAAAGGAGACAATCCTAAAGCGGAAGAAGAAGATATTAATTCAATACAATGTGGTGATTATGACAAAGGAAGTATGTGTCAGTCAAGGGTGCAAATAACTGTGGAGCTGATTGATAACAGTGCGCCAAAGGAAGATGAGCAGTCAGAACATGATACCTAGGCCCTGAGAGTGTACAGTTCAGATTTCGAGAATGGGTGGTGACAAACAAATACATAAGTATGCTATCTAACGATGAAATAACAACAAAGATTGAATGACTATAATTGATTGTAATAATTATCAACAACAGTGTTTCCAGTCAGTTATGGTAAGTTATTCAATTTAAATTTAAATGATATCTACTAAAAACAATGTTCAGATTATTTGAGTGTTTTTCTTTGGTTCTCTTTATGGATGGTACATACAGTAAAGAGCAGACAAAATGCGACTTTTCACATAAGTAAACATTTTTTCAATCAACTTTAAAGATATTTTACATACACGTATTTTGGATACCAAAGTTTAAGAATATGCAAGTCAATTGTCTGTTAGTGCGCCGTTTCTCTCCATACACTGTTGGATGCGGCGTTCCATGCTGTTTATCACATTGTCTATGTATTCTTGGGGTTGATCTACCCATATTTGATTGATGAGATTGGACCATTCCACGACATTTTTTGGTTCCAGTTTTTCTAGTTTGTCCTTCATTATCTGCCACATATATCTGAAATTCAAGGTATTATGATCGTCACAATGTTTCTTGTGAGGACATCAGATTAAGTTTGTTATCTGATGTTCACTCTGTAACACGTCTTGCCTTTAACGTGGTTCGTATCAGATAGACTATCATACCTTAGAATGTCAGAATGTTGTGATCTGATTGCTTTGCGCCAGGGAAAAATGTATGTATGAGCGGGAGATATACACAATGAAAACTGGCTGCACCTTGAATCAAGGTCGGAATAATAAATCTCCTGCACCTAGACTTTGAATCTCGTTCAGGGTCAATACTGTCGCATGGCACAGCATAAACCAGCTCTATAGTAACAGCCGTGTCAAAGCAAATTATATTGTTTGTATGTTTTTTACAATGGCAGGTTGAAAAATGTTGGCAAGATGATTTCGTTATAGCAGTATCATTCGGGGTAAATGTGGTTTTATGAGTTTTATCGCTTGTGGTGTTAAAGCTAATGCGGGAAGGTATTAAACCACATATCACGAACGACACGGCTTCAACATATAAAGCATACTAATGTCCAGACGTTTCCTCTTTTAAAGGCACTATATCACACCACACTTCTCTAAAAATATATAAAGCATTTCTCTCAACAATACTAACTATCAGCTCTCAGGGAAGTTACCATATAATTTATTTTTAAAAAAGTACGCATTTAGATTACAATATTAACTTCAAACGTTCGAATGAATTGATGCAACGTTGCATTAAATCGACTCTCGAGCCTTCTACCGGCCGAACATTATTTCAAGCGAACCCCAAAGAGTTATGTCCCTGGGAGCACTCTTCACGAATATCCTACGTACAACTTGTGATTGAAACCAGTTCGGCAAACACCGACAAAAAACGCGTACGACAGTTGTCGATGTACGGAGCAATTGTTTACATTTCATATATGTCAAGTGTTTTCTGTTTGGAAGCTTTTCGCCTCGAAGTTTCAATTATCGATTTCAGACAAGTCGTAAGGAATAAGTCTTTTATTGCTTCTATAGGAAACTAAAGTGAGTGCACATGCCCCAATATATATAATATCGGCCAAAATATTGTCGAACATGTGTGACATTGTGCCTTTGAATAGTATGTTGGGTCACAGACTACGTCATTTGTGTGGTCTCGAGTGTGACTTATAATAACAAGAGTCATCATCAGAAGACATATTCCCCCGGGCCCCACATCTTTAAAAGAACAAATCATCTGTCCAGCTTGATTTTAGACTAAGTGCAAATCGTTTGAATGGAAATCATGAAAAAAATAAATGACAAATAGCAAAAGGCACCACTTCAAGATCTGCCTCACATATCTGCCAAGTTTTACTGAAAGATATTTAGAAGTTTTTGAGTTGTGCTCCGGAAACGAAACCAACCCCGCCCTTTTGAGACTAAGTCTGAATCGTTTCCATGGAAACCAAAGAAAATAGAAATGACAAAAAATCTGCAAATAGCAAAAGGCACCACTTTGGGATCTGCCTCACATATCTGCCAAGTTTTGCTGAAAAATATTAAGAAGTTTTAGAGTTGTGCTCCGGAAACGAAACCTACCCCGCCTTTTTGGGACTAAGTCTGAATCGTTTCTATGGAAACCGGGAAAATTAAAAATGCCCAAAATCTGCAAATAGCAAAAGGCACCACTTAAGGTTATGTTTGATATACATGTATCTACCAAGTTTTGTTGAAAAATATTGAACAGTTCTTGAGTTATGCTCCGGAAACGAAACCCACCCCTCACTTTTGGGACTAAGTCCGAATCGTTTCTATGGAAACCGGGAAAATTAAAAATGCCAAAAATCTGTAAATCGCAAAAGGCACCACTTTAGGTTCTGTTTGATATATTTACCAAGTTTTGCAGAAAAATATTCGACGGTTTCTGAGTTATGCTCCGGAAACGAAGCCCACCCCTTCCTTTAAGACTGAGTCCAAAACGTTTCTATGGAAACTGAGAAAAATTAAAATGCCAAAAATCTGTAAATAGCAAAAGGCACCACTTTAGGTTCTGTTTGATATATTTACCAAGTTTTGCAGAAAAATATTCGACGGTTTCTGAGTTATGCTCCGGAAACGAAGCCCACCCCTTCCTTTAAGACTGAGTCCAAAACGTTTCTATGGAAACTGAGAAAAATAAAAATGCCAAAAATCTGTAAATAGCAAAAGGCACCACCTTAGGTTCTGTTTGATATATCTACAAATCTTTGTTGAAAAATATCGAATGGTTTGGAGTTATGCTCCGGAAACAAAATGATTACGGACGGACGAGGCGACGACTATATCCCCCGCATGATATGCCGGGGGGGGGGGGGGATAATAATTAAGCATTACACCTCACTTGTGGCTCGTTGCCATGGGATACCTTTATTCTAACTGTCGGTGTATGAGCCGATACACCTACCGTTTTTTCATACACGTACAGTTTTGTTATACTTCTAAAAATAACAAGAATCATTTTAGTCATTTATTCTGGACCTGTTACAAACTGATATTAATGACGTTTCCCGGGGAGTTAGTACATGTAATTTTGATTCGCTGTTCATCAGCGGCATCTTGATTATCTGCTGTCTCGATTTCGATCTTCTTTGATGGTGGGGAAGATGTACCCGTGGCCTTCGTGCCCGGTGCTGGTGGTTGCAGCATGTCCGATATCTCCTTCTGAAGACCGACAGAAGTTCTCTTGTACAGCCTTACTGCCGAGCTTATGTTGCCTGTTCGTTCCATGACCAATTGTTCATCGACCTGATTCCCGAAAAGACGTGTAGCTGTGGTAACCTGAAACCAAGTAAAAAACGATTCAAAGTATGCATACGCAGCTGAACTATTGTAACGATAATTGCAATATTTGCGAGCCATTTTACCAGCATCAAAAACATTTAATTATACCCCCGCTACGTACTGATCAAAGAAGTTAGAAAGTAGCGTTCATTCCGTCTGTCTGTGTCTGTCCGTCAGTCCTTCCGTCCCGAAAGTTTGTCCGGAGCATATCTCTTAAAGTTTACATGCTAGATTCACCAAACTTCACACACATGTTAATCATTACATGACTTGGTGCAAAACGTGTTTGATGGTTACCTGGCCACAGCATATCATCGAAACTACACATGCTAGTCCAAGATATGTTTATGGATTAAACTTCTTTTTTAAGTATAAAGCATCAGATGCTATAAAATTAAAAACCACCAGAAAAAAAAATTAAAATGAAGTTTAATCCATACAAATATCTTGGACATCAACGTACAACTTCTAAATGCCGCTGAAAGACATTATACATGCTAGGTTCACCAAACTTAATACACAAGTTAATCATGACCAACAGATATGCCATGTGCTAAAAAATAACAATCTTCATCTACGTCCACTTCATTGTGTGCAACATGAGACAGTCAAGTTCAATTGTATGTCAGGTTTCCACGGAAAACACAAAAAAAATAATGTTTCCATAAATTATGACTGTAATCAGTACATGGCAAAACTATTATCTAACATGTATATAAAGTTTAGTAGAGTCAAGGAGAAAGACTTGTGAGCTGCTCATCCTTGTATTCAGATGCTATAATGTCGAACGATATGAACAATATTACAAATTCATATTCACGTACCTTTCCTGAATGTCCTGACAAAATGGCGTCTTCACTGTCGCTCATCTCCATCGTGAAAGCACACGGTGCACGCTCATGATCACGTGTTATCAAGTGGCCAAGTCAGGTGCATTGTTTGCACGACTCCACAAGTGTACCCGAAAACACTACCACTAAAACACTGTCAATTAAACTGCAGTTGAAAACTTTTCGAAGCTTAATTGTAGCTAGTAAAAGAAAAGAATTTATTTTATGGAAATGCGCATCTTAAAGTTAAGACTACAAGTTATATTGCAAAGTTTAGATTCTATCCAAAGCACAAAACTAAAAATCATTCTCTGAAATGGTTTACCCAAATACAACGTGTGAAATGCATGGGAGCAGAGCCATGGCATGACTACTAAGCGAAATTCACGTGCAATGTCAGGGCAACGCACAGGCCCACGCTGTTGATATCGACAACAGCCGTATGTTTAGATAGGGGCTCCAAAAAGGAAATGTTTTGTGAAAATATATAATATTGGACATAAATTACACTACTTGTAGTACTCGGACCGCCTCCGTGGTGTAATGGTTAGAGCGTCCGCCCGGAGAGTGGAAGGTCGCGGGTTCGATCCCCGACCGCGTCATACCAAAAGACGTTAAAATATGGTACTTGTTGGTCCCTGCCTGGCGCTCGGCATAAATGGGTACAACAAGAACTGGTCGGCTCGGAGTCAGTATAATGTGTCTGAGTGGGGTATTCATGCTTCACTGCGGCATGGTATCTCAGTGGGCTAGCACTATGAAACCATCTTAAGTCTGGCCTAGTACAAGCAGCCGCACATACGCACACATACGCATGCACGTCGTCATATGACCGAAATATTCTCAAGCACGACGTTAAACCCAACTTCACCTCACCTCACTTGTAGTACTCGCCTACAAGTGAGGTGTAAATAGTTTATTTCCATACTTTCCTCGGTGTGTCGGCCCATACACCTACAGAGGCCCTCCTCACGTCAAAAACTGTAGGTGTATGGGCCGACACACCGAGGAAAGTATGGAAATAAGCTATTACATGACTGTCTCCTTGGCTCTGGTTG